ACAAAGAGCCATAAACTCTGTGAGAAATGATTTCATTTTTTCATCAGCAATATGTAAAAACTTTACTAGTCAAATTGTATTATTTAACATTAACACGAAATAGTTACTTTCTAGATTGGATGATGTAAGAAGTTTCAAAGTATTATTGGGCTTATAACTAACACTCTTGAATGTGAAAGGTGAGATTGAGAGAGTGCAAAAAACAAAGTGTTTCATCATGTCATAATTAATCGTGATTTGATAAATTATCATAATGATATGAACTAGTTTTATTCTTCATTTAAATCTAAAACACGAAATAATCACATTTAAAAGTCGAGTACTCTAATGATTGAATAATTATATAAGTAGTCCACAGTGGCCAAGCAAAGAATTGGAGTAGGCCAGTAGGGGGACTGAAAATAATAAATTACAAATAATTTTGTACGATTAAACTTAAATTTTGAAGGAGCTAAGGATTAATAGTAAATTCTACCACTTTATATGATTTTTCAAAGTATGTACACATATTATAATTCTATATAAAAGAAATTAAACGAGGTTGTAGTTCCTTCTATAAACTACACAATGGATAACTCCACCACTGATAATACACTTATTTCGAGTAATACGTGTTCAAATAGCGTGTTTTAGATTTTCATCTTTGTTTGAAATGAAAGTTATTGTGTCTTCTGATTTTAGCTAATCATTGGAAATTCAGCTTTCTTTTATGTTTGAGACCTATTTTGGTTGTCAACATGTGTCGTTATCATGGTTAAATGTTGAACATGTTCCGTATAAGGGAAAATCAATGATAGAGATATGTATTCATACTTAAAGAATGGATTATGTTATTATTAACATCAGATCTGACATTGTTTTGTTCACGTAATTAGTTAATTGCGTTCCCATCTGGAAAGGAAAAGAAAATATTATATGTACTAAAATATAGCACGACAAAAACGAGGGCCTTCTGTCCTCTGGTTTCAGTTGGGCTTTTTGTTTCGATGATGGGCCTTGGAACTTTGGTCTTTTTTGGGCTGGACTCTTGATAATGTGCCACCTTATTGGTTTCCTCTTGGCTTGGGCTAGCAGTAATCCAAAAGCTAAAAAAAACCGAAGTCCAAAACCAAAAGGGCCCACAATCTTGGTAGTTAAAAACCAGAACTACAAGTCGATGGTCGTTTGCTTACGGATTTATACGATGGGTTAATTGCATGGTTGGTCACTGAGATTACAAAAAACGTTTAAGTTTGGTCACTCGAAATATTTAAATTCATTGATGATACTTTAGTTTATTGAAACTGTTCATGTTTGGTCACTCTCCGTCCAACTCCGTTAACTTTGGCTGATGTGGCAGTCAACTCTCAAAGTTGACCGTTAACTTAGTGACGTGGCAACTAAAAAATTATTAAAAAATAAAAATTAAACTTTTATACTTTCCACTTTATTATTACATTCATTAAAAAATAAAAATAATAAAAAACCTAATTTCTTTTCTACAAATCCAATATCCGACCATCAAACTCTCATGTTCTCCTCCCTCGCCGCCGCCAAACTCGGCACCACGCATTTCGACGGAGCTGGAGACGAAGACCTCTTTGTCAAGAACCAGTTGATCCCAATAACTCGAATTGTTGGGAGAAGGTTTTGCTGGATCTTATACCACACTCTAACACGCCTCCTCAAACGAAAGCCGGTATGGGCTTGAAGTTTGCACAGGCCCACCATACCATGTGCTTGAAAGACAACGGTTAATATTGGGGGTCGTGGAGATTCGAACACATGACCTTTTGGTTCGAGGCTCTGATACCATGTCAAGAACCAGTTGATCCCAATAACTCGAATTGTTGGGAGAAGGTTTTGCTGGATCTTATACCACACTCTAACACTCTTCCCCAATTTCCCAGCAGGAGACGGATCCCTCTTCTCCGCCGAAACATTCTTCCTTCCAGCAGAAACAGATCTCTTCGCTCCAGCAGGGGAAGAGAATCTCTGCGGCAGAACTCTCTCCTTATTCTTCTCCTCCGGGAATCCTCCTGAAGCTCCTACATACCATGAACTCAGCCACCAGAGTCACCGGCGACCACCGCCCCCCGCTCCTCCAAGTCACCGGCATAGTCCCCGCGCTCGCTGGCGTCACCGACCTCTTGCCAAACCACGACTTCTACGTCCAGCTCTCCGACTCCCTCAACTCCACCTACGTCTCCCTCTCCGACCGAGACACCGACCTCATCCTCTCCAACCGCCTCCAACTCGGCCAATTCGTCCACATCGACCGCCTTGATTCCGACTCCCCTGTTCCTAGGGTTTGCGGCATCCGCCCCATCGCCGGACGCCACGCCTTCATCGGCACGCCCGAGCCACTCGTCGCTCGGAACTCGTCATCCTCGAGAAAGGAATTCGTAATCCAACCTGTCCAATCGGCCTCAGATTCCTCCATCGCCCCCTATTACTCCACAAAGCACATTTGTGCAAGCCTCCAAAAAAACACCAAATCTAAAGATCACAACCATGAAGAAAAACCAAAGCACCCATTCCTTCCTCCTCCTCTTCATCACCGCCACCTTCTTCTTCACCTCATCCATGGCCGCCACATATTCCCCCAAGAAAATGTCATGAACCAGTTGCTCCCAATAACTCGAGTTTTTAGGAGAAGGTTATGTTGGATCTTATACCACTCTCTAACACGCCCCCTCAAACGAAAGCCAACCCATGGGCTTGAAGTTTGCACAGGCCCACCATACCATGTGCTTGAAAGACAACAGTTAATATTGGGGTCGTGGAGATTCGAACACATGACCTTTCGGTTCTAGGCTCTGATACCATGTCATGAACCAGTTGCTCCCAATAACTCGAGTTTTTGGGAGAAGGTTATGCTGGATCTTATACCACTCTCTAACAGAAAACCCCTCTCACACCATGCAAGAAACTCGACCTCTACTTCCACGACATCCTCTACGACAGCCACAACGCCGCCAACGCCACCTCTGTCATCGTCGCCAGCCCCATCGCCGGCACCGGCTCCACCGGCACACGCACATCCCTCTCCCCCGAACTTCCACTTCGGCGAGGGAGGAGAACATGAGAGTTTGATGGTCGGATATGGGGTTTGTAGAAAAGAAATTAGGTTTTTTATTTTTATTTTATTTTTTAATGAATGTAATAATGAGGTGGAAAGTATAAAATTTTATTTTTTAATAATTTTTTAATTGCCACGTCATTAAGTTAACGGTCAACTTTGAGAGTTGACTGCCACATCAGCCAAAGTTAACGGAGTTGGACGGAGAGTGACCAAACGTGAATGGTTTCAGTAAACTAAAGTACCATCAATGGATTTAAATATTTCGAGTGACCAAACTTGAACGTTTTTTGTAATCTCAGTGACCAACCATGCAATTAACCCGATTTTGTCCCAAATCCAATTCATCACGTACTATGCACAAAACAATTGTTTGTTTTTGAACTTTGTTGAGAGATCAAATTTGTGGGGTTCATAGCTCTAAATTCGCGGGTTTCACGAGGTTGTAAATCTTATGTCAAGAGGTGAGATTTGGAACATGACCATAAATCTATGATCTAATCAAGTAAAGTCATAATCAAATTAACTCGATAAACGCACAATTGTCCTACTATTTAAGAGAACGGCGATTTATCACCATGTTAGTTTTTTATTATCTCTATAGAATGACAATTTTATTAGCTGATTGTGTTTATCTTATAAGGTTACTTTTTAAGGCTCGTTTGCTTCGTGGATTTGAAAAATGAAGGTTTTGGTTAAAATCTGGGATTTACAAAATCATAGATATATGATGGAATTGCCCTATTTGATTTTTGGTACAAACCATCGTTTGCTTGTTGGATTTCATTATGAATTTGACATTATTATATTTGTGCTTGTATTAGGAATTTACCTTAGTGCCCTTATTGAGTATTATTTATATTTACATTATAATTTTTGTTTAAAACAAGTTTCATCCAATAGGTTCGTTTTACTACCACAATTGGAATAAATTAACATCATTAATCAATAACATCATATTATACACACAATTATATTAAAAAATTCCTTAAGGTTTTCAATATTACAAAGTATGTTTTGCGATTAATCATGTAGTGCGTTCGTGCAATGAATAATAATAAATATTGAATGCAAAATTAATATGCACTTCAGGATTCGCGGTGACGGAAGCAGCTGTTCAAGTTGTTGCACGGCGGGAGAGAGATTGCATCTGGGTCACAGACGCTGAACAGAGCGTGTAAGTTCCCAACTACAATCGAAACAATTTTCTCAAAAACCCTTCTCAGACCCAAAGAATCTAATAGCTCCGAAGTTCAAACGACGGTGGGCTCACCTCAATGCCGAAAGACAAGGAATTGAGCTTGTAGAAAGGTCGGACTCGGAGGCGGGCGGCGGCCCAGAGCCCGTCGTCGGAATCGGCGACTGAGATTGAGAGGGTTGACTTGTCGAGGGAGTGAGGGGAGCATACTTCGGAGTAAGCTGCTGTTGCGGTTGGTCGGAGGCGGAAAAGCGGGAAAAGGAAGAATAAGAGATGGGGTGGTGGTAGGAATGGCGGCGGTGGCGGGTGAATTCTGTGGATGGGGATGGGGTAGTGATATGGATAAGGTAGGGTTTAGGGTCGTACGTTTTAATTGATTTTTTTTTGTTCAAAATGATAAAGGAAAGAAAATGGAAATATGTGTAAATTAAAAAAAAAAATTGAAACTTGTTGAGTTGGCAGTGACATGGCACGTTGACTAACGGTCAACGCGTTTGACCGTCCAAGTTAACGGTCAAAAGTCGGATCTGGTCAAATTGTTTATTTTGATGTATAGTTCGGGCCAGAATGTTATAGATCGAAAAGATTGACCATAATATTTATTTTGGTTAAAATTCAGGCCATACGAAAATATTAACCCTTGATTTTTGTATGACCTTGTGAAGAAATACTCAATAGTGTTCTTATGTAAGTCCTAACAAATACTATTATTATAAATGTGGAGTAATAATTTGTAGGTGCACCAACCCCGCCTCCGACGCAGCCACCTTCCATATAAAACGACTTCCTTTTTCAGTCTCTCTGTTTTGTCTCTTCCCCAGAATCCCCCTTAAAAAAAAGACCAGGGAGCTGGTGACGGCCTTCGCTGGTGTATCCAAAATTGTCCACTGAGGCACTGAGATCACTCATCGAACCTCAGCCCCATAATTCCTTCTTCCTTCCTACACTTTAATACCATCAGCACAGCTCCAAAAAACCAAACGCCCAATCGCCATCGCCAGTTTCTCTTCCAAAATCGTGGGTTGCTGTGGCCGGGCGTTTCTTGTCTTCATCCACTCTCAATCCTCTACCCTTTTTTGTGGCTCTCTCCAGCTCTCTTCACCACCCCGATTTATAAAACCCTGCCCCCCCGCCATTTCTCCCCTTTCTATTCTCTTCATCTACAAGTTTACGCCAGCAGAGTTTCTGGTAGCGTTTCGGCTTACTCTGCTGTTGTCGTGTGTTGTTTTCTTTTTCCTCCATGATTCTGGGAAGTGACGAAGATTGTTTTTTGTTTATAATGTTCAATTTGCGTTCTTTTTCAGATTGGAACATCTGGGCGAGGCTCGAAATCCTCGGTTTCGATTCGGCTCTTGGTTCTTTTTGGTGGGTTCATCGATTTAAAAGGTGGGATTCGTTCGTTTCCCTGTTCTGTTCCGTTGAAATTCTGGAATCTCTATTTTTAGGATGTAGAAGATCTTATCCTGTGTGGGATTCTCTTACGTTTTTGGTGTTGATTTGCAATGTGCCAATTACTATTTGTTCTAGATTGAGACACAGTTGGTGAATTCAGTAGTCTTTTGCTTATCCACGTGAATCAGGTGAGCTATAGTGTGGCAAATATCTGTGAAAATTGAAGAAATTTACTATGGTTGTAATCTTTTCCCAATGTGAACTTCTGATTAAGCTAGTTCTGTTCCTTGAATCTGGCTATAAAAGCAACATTTTCTATGGATATCTTTTTCTTCTCTTCACTCTTTTCTCTTAACCTCTAGTTGCTTTTGTTCATTTGCAATGTTAAAACCAATAATTGTCTGTTTTTATGAGGAGCAGATGATTGAGTTTTAAGTGGCCAATTGCCCAAATATTTGGGAGAGTGGCAAAATTTTGTTTAACCACAGTGGTTTATGATGGAAACTAATCCAATATGAACTTCTAATCAAGCAACTCCTGTTATTTCAATCCTGCCTTGGTTATATTCTTCTGTCCCAACCTTGCTCCAAGTTTCCCTCAACTACATTCAAACAACACTAAAATGCTTCTGCCTTTTATGACAACTGAACTTGAATATTGCTCTGCAGATGGGAGACGTCGCCAAGGATTTGGCTGCCGGGACAGTAGGAGGGGCAGCACAATTGGTAGTTGGACACCCGTTTGACACCATAAAAGTCAAGCTCCAAAGCCAGCCTGTTCCACTTCCTGGCCAGCCTCCAAAGTATGCCGGCGCTTTTGATGCAGTCAAGCAGACTATAGCAGCTGAAGGCGCTGGTGGACTGTACAAGGGCATGGGAGCTCCTCTGGCAACAGTTGCTGCTTTCAATGCTGTGCTTTTCACTGTGAGGGGACAAATGGAGGCTCTGCTGAGGTCTGAACCTGGCGCTACGCTCACCATTGGTCAGCAGGTTATTTGTGGTGCTGGTGCTGGATTGGCAGTCTCTATTCTTGCTTGTCCTACTGAGCTGGTCAAGTGCAGGTTAGTAACATGGTTTCACTGGTGCAAGCTTTTCATGAATGTGTAGTCTAGTATGAGAGAAGTGATGGTCTGTTAGAGCTAGGTTTAGATTAGACACTTTGTTCTTCATGCCTTTCAAGTTTCAACAGGGGAGAGTTGGAAACAATGCCTATGGCTTCCAAACAAGTCCTTGGCCTTGACACAGATTACCATGCTCATCAAATCTTCATATTTACCAAATTCTTGTTTTTGGCAACAAACAGGTTGCAAGCGCAAAGTGCACTGGCAGTGGCTGACTCATCAGCAGCCACCGTGGCATTGAAGTATGGCGGGCCAATGGACGTGGCCAAACAAGTACTGAGATCAGAAGGCGGCACTAGGGGGCTATTCAAAGGATTGGTGCCCACCATGGCCCGCGAGATTCCTGGCAATGCTGCCATGTTTGGAGTCTACGAGCTGCTGAAGCAGAAGATGGCAGGTGGGGAGGACACGTCCAAACTAGGCAGAGGTTCCCTCATGCTGGCTGGAGGCCTCGCTGGTGCATCCTTCTGGGGATCGGTCTACCCTACAGACGTTGTGAAGAGCGCCCTCCAGGTCGATGATTACAGTAAACCCAAGTACTCCGGATCCATGGATGCGTTTAGGAAGATTCTGGCTGCAGAAGGTGTCAAGGGGCTGTACAAAGGCTTCGGCCCTGCTATGGGGCGTAGCATCCCTGCGAATGCAGCATGTTTCTTGGCGTACGAGGTCACAAAGTCGAGCCTGGGATGAGCCGAATTGATTGATTGATTGAGTTAATGTGAACTAACTGGGGATTGCTTCTTGTTGAATCACATTGCTTGTTGCTGAATGTGAAACTCTACTCTAGCATATGGTTCCATTGAATGAAAAGGCTCTCTCATCAAATGTGAATTCTTTTTCACTCTTTTTACTCCCTTTGCTATTGTGTTATCTAGTAATAAAAATTAAAATTGAGTTGCATGTATTTGTTCTGTATGATTATATAGCCTAGAATTACAATTCCATATTCTTTTCCTTCCTTTCCACTATTAATAAGTTAGTGCTGTCCGAGTGATAAGGCAAAAAACTCTGGCGTGAAGACTCTATTCTACTACTCAAATTAGAAATTACCAATCGTTGATTTATTCTTCAACTCTCAAGTTAAGGCCTAATAAAGCCTAATTTTTAGGGGAAACCTATCTTAGACTACCAAAAATAGGAAGGGAGAAGTCTGAAATTGTCAAACTTCACCACAAAACTTGCTTGATTAAGGAGAGTGATAACATCATGATAATTACACCACAAAGAAAGGCAAATCTAAGCTTTGAGGGAACTTTGAAGAGGGGGGAAAATACAGATAGGGAGATTAAGAAAAAGAGTGTTAGAGATTGGTAATTAGTGATTGTTTAGTTAAGGTAATGTCAGGAATAATGCAGGTAGAAGGAGGAGCCAACAGAGTTCAACAGCACAAGCAACAGGCAGCTGCTAATCATCAGTTCCCTGTTCCCCTTGTTTCCAGATTGGATCACCTGGATTCCCTAGTGAGCTTCCTCTTTTCCATTTTTTCCTTTTCGCTTTACATGAGTTCGTCGAGTATTTATGAACTCGTAACTTACCTGTGTTTCCCTTCAATGTTCCATTGAAGATGAAGTACTTGGAAGGGAAACAAAACTCCCAAAAGGGGTTGGGTGGCGGAGGAGGAGGAGGAGGAGGAGGAGAGGCAGCTAAGCAGCAAACTGCGGCATTGCTGGAAGTGGCAATGAGGGAGGCTTACTTCAAAGGCTCTCTGATGGATCGTGTCGCTTCTCTCGAACACCGTCTCTTTCAGGTTCTGCTGTTGGTTCATTCTGAAACGATTTCGAATGATCTACAATTCTATCTTATACACTCAGCTTCAATAATCCTAAATGTAAATGTTTGAATGTATTGCGAATAAAGTAATTGTTAATAGTAGAATGTCTAGGCTACATGAACAAGAATCTTTTGAATTATTGTACAAATTTCTCAATTTCGCGCGGTATCGTTGTTTATTGTGTAGTTTCTTCATTTCATCTGTTCAGTTGTGCCTAGAGATGGAGTCAACCAACACCTCCACTAGTTCATCACAAACATCAGGAGGCGGCTGCACCTCCGCCTCCTCTACCACCACCACCACCGCGACAGGGTCGAGAAGCCAGACGCCATCCTCGTCTTTCCCAACATTCAGTCTTTCCAATCCGCGCCACCCTCTTCTTCATCACCACCTTGCTAGATCTCACCTTCAGCAGGCAAGTATTCATGTACTCTTATGCTTAGTGAAACATCATTAAAGCACAACTCTTTTAATATTAGCTTTAAACCATCCATCATAATCTTCATTAGAGAGGTTGTGTAATCTTATGTCATCCAACAATGTTCTTCATTTGGGGTTGGTTTTGTGCGACTCTTTTTAGGTAGAGGAGGAGAGGGAGGAAGAAGGAGAGACAAAGGGCAAGGACTCAAAGAAAGGCAGCAGTAGCAGCAGCAACAGTAAAACCAGAAAGGAAGAGAAGAAGAACTGCAGATCAAATGGGAACACTAACAGCAGCAACAAGAAGCAGATCAAATGGCCACAGATCAGACCTCTTAAGCTTTTAGGATGCTAAGAATCAAGTTTCCCTCCAACCAGTTCATCTTGTTTTCTTGTTTCAACATGTATGCAATCGTAATTGAGATCGAAGCAGTGACACTAGCGATTCAGGATTTGAACAGGATTGTCCAAATCATGGTTGAATCTGTAGAACAATCGCTACAGTTTCACAAACACTATTACTTTCACCTCGACCCCTGTAATCTCACTTCTATGAACTCTTTAAGTCTTTCTTATTCATGGTTTTTCCTCTTTACCTTGTTCTGCTTCTCTTCCTCTTTCAGGTAGTTCATGTTGTATTTAGAATGCATACTAAATTTGACAGAGCTTGTTAATGCATCTTCTAGATAGACCTGCTGACAAACAGGTCGCGATTCGAATGATGTTGGTGTAGACTGGGAAATTTAGTTAGAGCTGCATAACCATCACAGACCATCATAAATAGATTGCTTACAATTAGAACTTGTGCTGGCTCTCTCCAATCTTAATACTAGTAAACCACAAAGTTTCATGGATAAGGTAAGTTCATCAGGAATTTCAGGTTCAATGTAAATCTGCAACATAAAACTGTCATCAGAATCTTCAATTCTATAAACCATACAACACAGTTATCCGTGCATTCGTCTCAGAGTGAGTGGAAACTTCTCAAGCCTTTCTGCCTGCCAAGAATGCTGACATTTTCTCCATAAGTGGACTCCAGGCCAAAATGGATTCATACGAGATTGGCAGATCGTTGACAACGTACTAATTAGTCATGAGGTAACTCAGTTTTTAAAATATCATAGAAGTGGACAACGCTTCTACATGCCTCTTAAATTGGATATGGAAAAGGCCTATGACCGAATCAAATGGGACTTTCTTCTAGAAATGATGAAGAGATTAGGGTTTGATGAGCGGTTCACTTACTGGATTCGACAATACATATCTTCCGTTTCTTTTTCTGTCTTAATTAATGGAACACCTCATGGTTACTTTCTACCCTCAAGGGGAATACGTCAGGGTGATACTTTATCCCCTTTATTGTTTGCTATTTGTTCGGAAGGCTTCTCAGTCTTAATCAACCAGGCAATAATAGTTAGATTCCTAAGTGGTATTCGAATTAGAGAACCTTGTCCTACGATTTCTCATCTTTTCTTTGTGGATGACTCCTTCTTATTTCTACAAGCGACCCTAGAATCGTGTCAGATTCTTATATCGCTTTTAAATGTTTATGAAGGCTTGAGCGGCCAAAAGGTTAACCTCCATAAATCAGCAATCCTTTTCAGTAAGAATATCCAAGAGCGAGCAATATTAGATATGGCTGGATTCTGGGAGTAGGCTCAATTGGCACAGAGGATCGCTATTTAGGGTTACCAACTCTGATCGCTAGATCCAAAAGTGACACATTCCAGTTAGTTGAAGCACAAATCTCAAAAAGGCTTGCAGGATGGAAAAATCGTACTTTATCCAAAGCGGCCATTGACACTCTGATAAGATCAGTTCTTTCTTGCATGCCTCTGTATTATATGTCATGTTTCAAATTTACTATCGACTTATGCAAAAGACTTAATAGACTTTTAGCCAAGTTTTTGTGGGGAGCTTTGAGGCATTCGAGTCAGCGAGTTGCGCATTGGATTGCTTGGAAGGATATTTGTCAAAGCAAACAGCGAGGAGGCCTTGCATATAGAGACTTTAGGATCTTCAATCAAGCTCTATTAGCAAAGCAATGTTGGAGAATGTGAAAAAAACTGATTCCCTCGTTGCACAAATTTACAAAGGTCGTTACTATGCCCAAACTACAATTTTAGAGGCCAGGTTGGGATCTGATAGGGCAAAAGCGTATGCTTAAATTCCTATCTTGTAGTAAACCGGAAAGTCCAGGTATCGTCTCTCAGGGACTGGTACAACCTTTTAATTTATCAATTCTATGGAGCAAACTATAAGTGAAAATGGTTTGAGTGATGAAACTACTAGCTAATAATTAAACAAAACAAGCAAATTAAAATGTCGGGTTTAATTCAATGGGAGAAAGCTCTGGGAGAAACACCGGGATTCACTACCTATCATATCCAGATTAATTCACACATTCCAATCAATTTAATCCATACCTCTACAGCCAGGATATCACGAATGTGCTAGCTATCCCTGTCGGGAATCACTACGTACTAAATAATCAATTCAAATCCTACTGTCGTAGCTCAATGAATTAACTATAGAGTCTGAAGATCGATATCCTATTTAAGACCGCATAACACCTTATTTAATCCACTGTCGCTTCGATAAGTTACTATGTCACATGAAACAGGTTCAGTTAATAGGGTTTCACTGTCGCTAATAACCTAATCAACTACGATTCATTGTATTGGTGGTCAGTCAACACAAAGCATTAAGTAATTTCATGCAATAGAGATTGGAAGAAAAGAATCATAAATCAATCCATCAAATCAAGAAATAGCTACATCCTATGGTGTTTCCCCCAGAAATCGGGGTTTAGTTCATGACGAAAATAAAACACACAATCAATGTTCATAATCATCATCGTATTAATCGAGGGAAGAAAATACTGATTTTGAATTATGCCCGGCGATCAGCTCGTGCCCAGCTCCTTCCGTCGCTGCGATGCTGCTCGCTCTCTCTCCCCCTAATTCGTTCCGTCCAGACCAGCTGCTGCTTTCTTTTGCCTTCCGAGAATTTTAATTCCGCCCAGCTCTTCCAAAAGAATAAAGTTCCTCCCTGTCCGCGTCCAGAGATCCCTCCTCCCACCAAAATTAGACCCTTTCTCCTTTAATTCCAATCCCCCTGGCTCAATTCTGTTCTTCCTGATTAATTCCGTCCAAGACTTCTCCCTAGTAGAATTTCCGTCCGTCCCCAATAAGCCCTGGCCCAATCTCCTTGCTCCAGAATAATGCCACCTTCCATTTAATTCCTCTCAGCCCAGCAGAAAAAGAGAATCCACCTCTAATAATTCCGCTAGCCTTCTTTGTTCAAAAGTCCCCCGGCCCAAAAATTCTTCCTGGCCCATTTGAGTATTCCACCAGTGATTCGAGCCCGATTGATTGCTTGTGCACTCGCTTCTTTTTCGTACTTTCTCCACCTGTAACATATCAAACTCATGGCACTAGGCAGTAATGGTTTTTTTTTTCAACCATTCTCGGGTTAGCGAGCCCTAAAATAGCACCAATTGGCTAAAACATACCATGGATAATCACATAAAGTCAAAAAATTCAATATGTTAAAGCCGATTATCACAACCCCACACTCAATTGTTGCTTGTCCCTAAGCAACGACTCAAAACAACACAAACACATAATCAACCATAACATTGACACACCACAGACTCACTAATCAAACACTCAAATAAAACACAATTTTCCTTGTACTCTTGTTGTAATCAGTAGTTTCTTTCTCAACGGACAAGTTGTGCTTTAATGATCATACCTATCACCCCACACTCAAGGTCTTTGCAACCCTTAACCTTTGACTGACTCAAATCGATCAAAAACTCAAATAGCAACCCTCGATTTCGATCGTCGGTAGTGGGTGGTTAACAACTTATGGTGCAACAGTTATTAGGAGAATCTAACCACATCAGTGAGGTGCATATCTCATGAGGACAATCTGGCTTACTCACACCAATCATAAGCAATTAATTAAGCATTGAGTCTCAAAAACTAATGGGGGAAGCCTTTCGCAAACATGATTTTAACTTTAAGCACATCACTACATTTTATGACAAGGAGAGACTTTCTCTCTTTCTGCTTTTGCTTGTCGAGAGGTCATATTTAGTACAAGTGGGATTTGTTTCTTACCACCGGTGACCGAGCAAGAGCAATTTCTGCTTCTTAGCACTCGCATAAGGGCTTCTTTTAACTCCTTTTCCTCGGTCCGTGTGAAGGGTCATTGTACCCTCAAATGGCACTTCACTCAACTGGGGATTGTACTTGATAAGCAACATCGTACGGTCGCGAACCGAATCTCAATTGAATCTTTCCTCATCCCCATGTGCAATGAGTGATTGCCTCACACGATTTTGGCATTTTTACCCACACTTTAATTGTTATGGCAACTTTCTTATATTTTACTTGTCAGGTAGCGTTTTCTCATTTATAAAGATACAGTTCACCCCATCATAAAACAATCAAAACAGAGAGACTCGTTGCCAAATCAAAAGCTCACAATTGATGCAAGTAAGCACGGTATCCAAACATGTCGAATGGTCAATGTTCTCCACCTAACTACTTCACCAAAAGTCATTACACTATCCTCACAAAATAGAGTGTTGCTAAAAAAGTTTGCTCATTCAAAGCATATAAAGTCAGTCAAAACATTCAAGCTCATTGTGAAGAACTATGCAATTCAACACTAGTGGGGATGATTTTGATGATTTCCTTCAAGCACAAACTCATTTCACACGCAACACAGTCATTTACATCATGTTACCACAAGAGTACAAGGTTTAGTTTTTCATTTTTTTGACTTTTAGGTGTTTTTTAGCCATTAACTTTGCACAGGCAGCCTGCTTTTTACACAGGCAAACTGCATGCAGTTTGGCTGTGCTCAACCTAATGGCAGTTTTTTTTTTGGATTTTTTTTTACCACATGCAACAGGGACAAACAACACTAAGACTCACCAATGGCAAATTTTTTTTTTGTATTTTTTTTTACCGACCTCATGACAAAAGGAAGAAACAAACACTAAGAGTCGCCACCCCACACTCAGGATGGAACATTGTCCCTAATGTTCAACTCCTGATCTAAACATGCACGGGTTTGACACAACTAAAAAGAAAAATAAAGAAAAGAAAACTTACCTTGGGTTGCCTCCCAAGAAGCGCTTGTTTAACGTCCTCAGCCTGACGTTCATGGAGCTTTCAACCAATGGGTATGGAAAGGTATCTAGCATACCCTCCCGAGCAATGATAGAACGCATAACCTCCATCCAACATATGAGTCACCTCAGCAGGGCCAGGTGTGCGAAAATTGGGTACGACCTTCTTAGCTGGCATGTTAGACCCTTTAGTGAGGCGTAGGTGGTATTGCAGCGCCTCAAGCAAGTACTCTTCCTGTTTCAATGTCAGTGAAGAAGGAATAATAACAGGAAGATTGAAATCCTTGCCCAAATATCTATACTTGAGGTGATCTGGCAAGGATTTCTGTCCTTGCTTTGATTTCAGAATCTGAGCTGATAGGACATGTGATCGTTCTTCTGGTTGTCCACTATCACAGGAAGAGGAATTTTTCCTTTCTCGAGCTCCACTTTCAAAGTCATCAAATGCCTCGTGATTATGATCAACTTGAAAGACATTAAAAATTTCCTCCTCCTTACCTACTCGGAATGTCAACTTGCCTCTCCCAACATCGATGAGTGCATCACCGGTTGCTAGAAAAGGTCTGCTGAGAATTAGAGGCACTCCCCGATCATCTTCCATCTCCAGAATCACAAAATCTGTAGGGAGAATAAACTTTCCCACCTTCACCAATACATTCTCCACCACTCCTTTTGGAATTTTCACTGATCGATCAGCCAATTGGAGAGTGATCCGAGTAGGCTTAAGAACATCTCCCAATCCCAATTTCTTGTAGACTGAGTATGGCATCAAATTAATTCCTGCTCCAAGATCACAAAGTGATTTATCGAACTCTGTACCTCCAATAACACATGGAATGGTGAAGCTGCCCGGATCATCCCTCTTTTCTGGTAATTTATTCTGAATCACAGCACTACATTCAGAAGTAAGGGTTACCTTCTCTAGATCAGCCCATTTCCGCTTCTTTGTCAGCAACTCCCTTCAGAATTTAGCATATGTAGGCATCTGTTCAAGTGCCTCCGCCAAGGGTATGTTAATCTGAAGTTGCTTGAAGATATTCACAAATTTCTTGAAGTTTGGGTCTTCCATGGGCTTCATTAACCTTTGAGGGAATGGTGCGGGAGGTTCATAAGGTTTTACCTCTTCATTCTTCAATTTTTCCACTTTTTGAGGTACACGGGCAGCATGCTTTTGCACAGGCAAACTGCTTTCATTTTGCCTGTGCAAGGCTGATTCTTCATTTTCTGCACAAGATCTTTCTCCCGGTGCTTCCTCTTCTGCCTCTGGTGTCTTTTTCGAGCTGCTAGGGTCTTCCAAGGCCTTTCCACTCCTCAATGTCACTGCTACAACCATGGCATCCTTCGGATTCCTCTCAATATTTGCTGGTAATGTCCCAGGAATCCTGCCTTGCATATCTGCCAAAGTTTGAGCCATCTATCCCATCTGCCTCTCCATAGCTAGCATAGACGATTGTAAATTATTGTTGATGGCTAGCTGTTGAGTGACAAATTGATCCAGGCCCTTGAAATTATTGTCTGTTTTCTGCATATGAGCCAAAATCAACTCCTCCAGCTGGGGCTTCTTCTCTGGTTGAGGCTGCTGCTGTTGAAAACCAGAAGGTGGGATGTTTCGAACACCAGCTGGATTATTGTTCGACCATGACATGTTGGGGTGATGTCTCCATTGAGGGTTATATGTATTTGAATACATACCACCCTGGCCTTGACTTCGTGGATTATTGATATACTGAACATCTTCCAACTGAGCAGCTCCCAGCGGACACATATCCCTATGATGAGGACCCTAAGTTCACATGAAGCAACCTCCTCTTGTCTACCCAAAGCAATCTTGGCCAGCCTTCGTTCGAGTGCATCGAACTTGGAATCCAGCTTAGCATCAATCTTTGCTTCTAAACTTGCAACTCTGTCTATCTCATGCAAGCCTCCTCTCCTTCGAATACTGGTCTCACTACCCCATTTAGTGGCTTCTGAACAGATCTTCTCTACCAGATCATATGCTGCTGGTGCCTCCATGCTTGTGAAACCATTTCGAGAAGCATTATTCAGGGCATCCCGAAACTCCCTTCTGATTTCATTGAAGAAAATAATGATCACGTTCCAATCTTCAAGACCATGGCTTGGGCATCTCATCAACAGCCCCTTGTAGCGCTCCCATGCTTCAGTCAGACTCTCATCATCAGCCTGCTTAAAAGTAACAATCTCTTCTTGCCTCTTCATTGCCAAGGCAGGTGGGAAGTATTTATCCAGAAATACCTTCTCAAGCTGATCCCATGTCGTGATGGAATGGGGTGCTAAGTTTTGGAACCAGTGTGATGCATTCCCTAGCAGAGAAAATGAGAACATCCGAAGATGGATTGCATCATCAGACACAGTCGGGCTCTTCATAGTATCACAAATGCTCGCAAACCGGCGGAGATGTTCATGAGGATCCTCGGTGCTGGCCCTTGAGAAGGTGTACCCATTCGTGATCATATTGATGAAGGCTGGGGCAATCTCCATGTTTGCATCCCCAGCCGGAATGACAACACATGAAGCTCGGGCTCCAGTCCTCCGATTCAGACGAGCCCTGATCGAACGATCCTGTTCAGCCATGATGACAGGCTCGATGACGCGCGGCGGCGGTGTCGGTGGTGTAGGGATGATAGGAGGTGACACCTGCCTTCTCGGTTGACGATTCTGAGTTAGGGAAGGCCTAGGAGTTGTGGATGTGGTAGGCTGCTTCCCTAACTTGACCTGCTTCCTGTTCTGTTGGCAGGTCCTCTCGATCTCGGGATCTAGTGGCAGTAAATTGCCAGTCGTCCTCCTTGGCATGCACGAGGAGGATAAACCTGAAAAATTCACCTACACACTAACACCCAGATCAAAATAGTTCACTCAAAAAAATAAACAAAAATAAGGTATGGCAGTCCCCGGCAACGGCGCCAAAAACTTGATAGGGCAAAAGCGTATGCTTAAATTCCTATCTCGTAGTAAACCGGAAAGTCCGGGTATCGTCTCTCAGGGACTGGTATAACCTTTTAATTTATCAATTCTATGGAGCAAACTATAAGTGAAAATGGTTTGAGTGATGAAACTACTAGCTAATAATTAAACAAAACAAGCAAATTAAAATGTTGGGTTTAATTCAATGGGAGAAAGCTCTGGGAGAAACACCGGGATTCACTACCTATCATATCCAGATTAATTCACACATTCCAATCAATTTAATCCATACCTCCAATGCAGTCAAAATCTAGATTTTAAGTAAAATCGAAAACTGAGGTAGAATCGAAATCGTAGATTAAAATCGTAAAATCGTAAGATTTTAAGGTTCATATTAAAATAAATACTTAAAACACTAGATAGTAATAATAATGCATATCTTGAATAACAATCAACCACATAAAACATAATTACCTCCCAAGATAAGTTTGTTTGCTAAACAAACACAACTAATCCATATATTTTTCTTGTACATAATAGAAACAGACAAATAAGAAACCTTAAACATTATAGATATCACTGTTAATTAATTGTTAAGAGTAGAAAATCACATAAGATCGTTAGGATCAACATTAACATCACTTACACATCATCGTCATCGTCATCATCCTCAACCTCACCCTTACTCTCATCGTTTTTATTTGTTTAAGGACTAATATCATTACTCTTATGATCACTTGAAGTACTTTCACCATTAACCATATTTCCTTAAACCATCATCTGGAAAACATAACTCATTGATTGATGCATTCCCTTCTTAATTGATAAAAGGTAGGGTTAGTGGTGCTGAAGGATTGGGAGATGAACAAAAGCTTGCAATGTAATGGAGATTTGGATTATTGTGAGGGTGGTGGGAACAAACTACAAGCTAATTGGGAGGGTGGAAGATATCGTTGATGGAAGGAGTTGGGCGCCGACGTGCGAAAGAGGAAGATACGAGGAAGAGAATGAAAATAAATTGAGGGTTAACTATCAGGTTGGGGTTGTGTTGTTCATCATGTTGGGTTGGGGAAAGTAAATTTGACTCGGTTCATGGGCATAACCCAACTTGACCGGCCTAATTTTGATCCAATTGATATGACCTTGAAATCGTACAAAATCGTAGAAATCGTAGATTTTATGGATTTTAGAGTTTTAAATCGGGATTTTATGGGATTTTAAGGTTCAAAGATTTTACAGTAAAATCAGGATCGGAACTCATAGGTAAGATCGTAAAATCGTAAGATTTTAAGATTAAAATCGGGATTTTGACTACATTGCATACCTCTACAGCCAGGATATCACGAATGTGCTAGCTATCCCTGTCGGGAATCACTACGTACTAAATAATCAATTCAAATCCTACTGTCGTAGCTCAATGAATTAACTATATAGTCTGAAGATCGATATCCTATTTAAGACCGCATAGCACCTTATTTAATCCACTGTCGCTTCGATAAGTTACTATGTCACATGAAACAGGTTCAGTTAATAGGGTTTCACTGTCGCTAATAACCTAATCAACTACGATTCATTGTATTGGTGGTCAGTCAACACAAAGCATTAAGTAATTTCATGCAATAAAGATTGGAAGAAAAGAATCATAAATCAATCCATCAAATCAAGAAATAGCTACATCCTATGGTGTTTCCCCCAGAAATCGGGGTTTAGTTCATGACGAAAATTAAACACACAATCAATGTTCATAATCATCATCGTATTAATCGAGGGAAGAAAATACTGATTTTGAATTATGCCCGGCGATCAGCTCGTGCCCAGCTCCTTCCGTCGCTGCGATGCTGCTCGCTCTCTCCCCCCCTAATTCGTTCCGTCCAGCTCTTTCTTTTGCCTTCCGAGAATTTTAATTCCGCCCAGCTCTTCCAAAAGTCTAAAGTTCCTCCCTGTCCGCGTCCAGAGATCCCTCCTCCCACCAAAATTAGACCCTTTCTCCTTTAATTCCAATCCCCCTGGCTCAATTCTGTTCTTCCTGATTAATTCCGTCCAAGACTTCTCCCTAGTAGAATTTCCGTCCGTCCCCAATAAGCCCTGGCCCAATCTCCTTGCTCCAGAATAATGCCACCTTCCATTTAATTCCTCTCGGCCCAGCAGAAAAAGAGAATCCTCCTCTAATAATTCCGCTAGCCTTCTTTGTTCAAAAGTCCCCCGGCCCAAAAATTCTTCCTGGCCCATTTGAGTATTCCACCAGTGATTCGAGTCCGATTGATTGCTTGTGCACTCGCTTCTTTTTCATACTTTCTCCACCTGTAACATATCAAACTCATGGCACTAGGCAGTAATAGTTTTTTTTCAACCATTCTCGGGTTAGCGAGCCCTAAAATAGCACCAATTGGCTAAAACATACCATGGATAATCACATAAAGTCAAAAAATTCAATATGTTAAAGCCGATTATCAGGATCTAATTCTTCTTGGGCTTGGCGAAGTATATTATATGGCCGAGAACTACTCCTTCAGGGACTTCGTTGGGAAATAGGAAATGGTGAGTGTCTGAGCATTATCCGACTTATGGTTGCCTTCATCACCCCCATCATACCCTAAGCTGAAAGATCAAGCTCCTGCTGAAGAGTCAATCTTGGTATCCTCTTTGATTTGCAAAGAATCCAACCAATGGAGGAGGAGTTTGATCAATGACCTCTTCTCTCCCGATTCCGTATCGCTAATTTGCTCTCTTCTTATTGCTAGACATAACCAACCAGATAGGAGAGTCTGGCATTTTACTTCTAACGGCGAATACTCAGTCAAAACAGGATACCATATGGGCATCACCTTGGCTTTATCAAATGGGGCTAAGAGTTTAGCTCAAGTGATGGATGAGGGCTTATGGAAAAAAACATGGAAACTCCAAATTCCCCCTAAACTTCGGTTCTTCGTATGGCAAGTTTTAAGAGTCATCTTACCTACCATGGCTATCCTTAAAGCATGAGATGTACCAGTTTCAGACCTTTGCCTAGTTTGTTGTCTTCAAGCCGAAACATTGGAACACTTATTCTTTACCTGCCCATTAGCTACTCGACTATGGTGAATGGTAGAGTTGGAGAATATCATTAATCACGCCGCGCAAGAAAATTTTAACACTTGGTGGCGGAGAGTAATGTACTCTATGTACAATCCATACCAGATTCTACAAGTCGTTTGTTTACTATGGAGAATCTGGAAATCTCGAAATACAGTAGTTTTTGAGTATACTCAACTACTGCCATCCGTACTCGCTGCTCAATTCGCTCACCAAGTACAAGAATTCTCCTCCGCCCTTCCATTTGTCCCTCCTCCCGCTCCAACGGTCTTCCCTTCAGTGCCTCCTTCCTGGTCTCCCCCTCCTCTTGGCCATCTCAAACTCAACTTCGACGCAGCTATCCATCCTTCCCAAGGTAGTTCTACAGGCTTGGTGTTGAAGTCTGCAGACGACCCGTACGCTCCTAGCTTTTGGATTTCAACATTCTGGGATCGTCAACCCGTACCTAGCCGAACTACTAGCCGCTCGAGATGTTTTAAACTTGATTCGTCACTTCGGCCTATTAGAAGTCATCCTAGTAGGGGACTCCGAAGTCGTTGTTCGTCTGCTACTCAGAGGGATAGAGTCAGATGCTGTTGGCGGTCCGGTGCTCAGAGACTGTCGTCAGATGATCGCTACCCTAGACATAGGCTTAGAGGTTTGTGCGGTTCCAAGAACTGCCAATCGGGCTGCCCATAGTGTGGCAAGAAAAGCCCTTTCTCTGTCTAGTTTAGAGTTGCTTTCATTTGATGTTGTTTATTGGGTGGGAAGGGACTTATAGGGTAGTCTAATTTTCTTGTATTCTATTGTCATATCTCTGAATATATAAAAAAAAACTACAGGAAAGTTATAACACAAAGAAGGCATTGAGATTGTCAAGAGCAAAGTTTTCATTAAGTCAAGCTAGTAAACAAAACCAGAACAATCCTCCTTCCTTCTACACAATCAAAAAAAAAAAAAAAAAAATATCCCAGAAAAAAGGAACTAATCACAGCTTCTTCTACACAATCCAAGGAACCCAATACAAGAAAAAAGCCTTCCTATCAATACATGGCCGAAAGCATGAAACTTTCCTAAACTTTTCACTTGTAGTAGATAACAGGCATGCCAGAGTTCTTATCCCAAAATCCTGCTTCCTTGACATACTCGATGTACCTAGCGAACTCCGGCCTCGAAGTGGTCCTCCTGTTCTGCCGCCGTCTATCAAAGAGGGTAAAAAGCGGGTGGCTTTTGTTAACCTTCATGGCCGGTTTCACCGCCGGGAGTGATGGCAAGTTCAGCTCCACAGACACCTTGTTACTACCTCTACAGCAACCCAGAAACCGAATTGGCAAGGTGTTGCTCCTCTTAAGCTGAAAATCCCTACTACTACCTCCCAGAAGACCGGCTGAAGAAGATTCAGCCTTGTCAACTAGCTTTTCATACCTGCTGTGGCTTCTGCGAGTGCTCAATGCTCTCAACATGGTTGAAATAAGGAGTGATTGTGGTTTCTTTCTTTGTTCTTGATTTGGGGAAAGAAGTGATGGGTTGTTGTTGTTGTTGTTGTGTGTTGACATTCTGCAGGGGAAAACATGGGCTTTTATATATATGCAGGGGAAGAGAGAGTTGAAGGTTGTGGTAGGTGAAGAACCGGCAAGCAGAAGGAAGGGAGTGGGTAAAAGATTTGAGACTTGGTCAGCAGCTGTGCCATTGTTGACCGGCCAGCAAGAACGGAAACAACTAGGCAACAAGGGAGTGGGTCAGACTTGGTAAGCAGCTGTGTTGTTGTGATTGTCTCCTTCTTCGTTGGTATAGCTGTTGTTTTTTTTTTTTCCTTGGATGCTGAGGTTAGGAACTTAGGATGGATATAGGAAGTTTTTTGTTTAATTTGGGTCACTTTCAGCGAGGGGCATCCAATTTCCTCATTCACAATCCACAATGGGTTAAGCAGGCTGATCGTAACAATTATGGGTTAATTGCATCTGAAATTACAAAAAACATTCATATTTGGTCACTGAAAATATTTAAATTCAATCTTGGTCACTCAAATTAGTTAAATGGTTCAAGTTTCGTCACTCTCCGTTAACTCTAGCTTACGTGACAGTCAACTTTCATGGTTGACCGTTAAATATGTGACGTGGTAATTAAAAAGTTATTAAAAATAAAAAAATAAACTTTTATATTTTCCACCTCATTATTACATTCATTAAAAAGGAAAAAAAAAAAATAAAAAACCTAATTTCTTTTCTACACACCCCAAAACCCAATTTCTGCAAGCCCTGTCGCGCCGTCTTCGCCGACTCGTCGCTCCACTCCGCCTTCGACCTCGACACCTGCTTCGATTCCGGGCCGGTGGTCTCCGAAGTTCGAGAGGCAGATCGATTCCATGCTCCGCTCTGCCATCGTCTGGAGCGACGGAACCCTCTCCGAGATCCGCTCCCGTCACTACTCCGACCGATGCATCAATCTCGCCGCCGGGAGGTAACGAAAGACGGTTTCTTTAAACCCTAGAAAAATGAATTTTCAATCGAATTTCTTATATGATGATTTAGAGAAACAATTGGGATTTAATTGAATTGATTTTTTCCCCAGGTTCCCAAAGCTTCAATCTTTTTCCCAGCGTCCAGGGAATGTGCCAAACGAGTACCTCATGGTAGACATGGCTTGCCCTCTTGAAGCAGATTCGGAAACCGAAACAATTGGGAAGTTCATGACAGGGTTGAAGCACTTAGAGCTTCGATTCTCGAGGTTAACGGCCAAAGGGATCGAATCGATCAGCGAAGGGTGCTTGAATTTGGAGTTCCTGGATTTGTCAGGGTGTGTTAATGTCAGTGGGACGCTGCGAGCTTAACTTTGAGCAGGTTGAGAAGTCGAATTCTGCATTTGCATGTCGTTGATCGGGCATTCAAAGGGGTATGGGCATTGAGATTTGTTTGATGAGAGGTTTCAGATTGATGCATCTGTATGATGATTCTGGTGTAAAAGATGCCTGCTTTGTGAACTCTCTGCAGTTTTTTTGAACTTGCTCGGTTTCGTTGCTGGTTCTGGTTTTCGGGTACCTATAATCGTGAGTGATTTTTGTTTCGTATATCTAGTGATGGTGAGGTTGGGTCGGTTAGGGTTTTGGGGTGTGTAGAAAAGAAATTATGTTTTTTTATTTTTTAATGAATGTAATAATGAGGTGAAAAATATACAAATTTATTTTTTTATTTTTAATAATTTTTTAATTGCCACGTCAGTCGTCACATATTTAATGTATGAAAGTTGACTGCCACGTAAGCTAGAGTTAACGGAGAGTGACCAAACTTGAACCATTTAACTAATTTGAGTGATCAAGATTGGATTTAAATATTTCCAGTGACCAAACATAAACGTTTTTGTAATTTCAGTGACCAATCATGCAATTAACCCTAACAATTATTAATAAGTTCAAGGAAAACCAAACTTGGCTTTCTTTCTCAAAATCTTTTTTATTGATTTTACAGAGTGAAACGGTAAGTGTTGAAAGCGATTTTTTTTGCTTTGGGTGGTGTCAAGAACAAATTTTGAATATGAATAGACGATCAATTTATAAATGATTATCTAATAGGATATATTGAAAGATATTTATTAAACATTGTAATGTAGGTGCTGAGTGTTTTTTTATAATTTTCTCCCAATATGAAAATAAATCGTGGTATTTTGTTGTAACTTGTACGAGTAGGATATTTTCTTCTATAAGAACTATATATTCACTTTTAATTATTATTTTTGTTTAACATACCGTTTGGTATAAATGAATTCCATAAGTTTCGAGTAATTCATTTTGAAATGAAATATTTTTGTGTATGGTATTTAAAAGAATTCATTTCCAATTCTAAATTTTGAATTCTATGGAATTGGTACTAGTTACAGCAATTCCAAGAAATTGAGATGAAATTTTCAAATGAATTCCCCAACTATTTACTAATTATAATAGAATGACATAATTATCCACTTTATTAACTAAATTACTTATATATATATATATATATATGACATACCAAACACTTACACGAAAATTCATTTTATTTCTAAAGATTTGAATATGACATGCCAAACACAAGATTTCATTTGACAATGAATTCTACACGGTAATTCATTTTACAATGAAATGAATTCTTGATTCATTTGGTACTAAACGGGAAACCCCTAATGATGATAACTTGATCTTGGCACCCGAGATTAACGTGACATGATGTGAATATGGACATAAATAAAGGGAGAATTCGACGAGGATTTGGAATGAACATAGAGAATGGACCGACAACTAATTTAGGGAGAAGAGAGAAAATTAGGATTGAGAGATTACGTTGAACTATTATTGATTACCAAGAAGATAGCTTGCAAGGCATATGCATGGACGAGCTAGTTTGTTACATTGTATTGAGTGGAAGATGGAGGACGAAGTCAATCCATTAAAAGGATATTTTGCACAATAAATTTGTTCAGTAACACCCCAAAATGTGAAATTAGATAGACGACAAGAAAAATAATCACTACTTGAAGTTTTAGTGATAAACATGAAATATTTTAGTAATTCAGTAATCAAATTGACAATTTTACTGATTCAGCTGAGTCTTTCCCACTCCAAATAAGATACTGCCCAGCTCAACCTTTCATCCCAATCCTGCAAAGAGAGGAACTATTCAACAAGTAAATGTAATTGACTGATCATGCAACTTTACACAGTTTACACACCGATCATAACACAAATTCAACCATCCACAATTAAGCAAGTTTTTATTGATTTTATTGAGTGCACCTATAAGTGTTGAAAAAGATTTTTTGTTTTGAGTGGATCAATTTGTGAATGATTATCTAATAAGATATATTGAAAAAATATTTGTTAAGCATTGTGATGTAGACACTGAGTGTTTTTTTTTTATAATTTTCTCTCAATATGAAAAGAAATCATGGTATTTGTTGTAACTTGGACTAGTAGGATATTTATTCTATAAGAAATTATATATTTATATTTAATTATTATTTTTGCTTAACTCTAAACAGAGGAAACCCCTAATCTTAAAATATATTAAAACAGTGTTAGAATTAAGCCTATGTCACATCAGCCTAAAATAAATTTCGTGCGTCCACGTCATTAGTCTCTAAAACAAGGCCTACAATCTCTCTCCTAAAAACAGCCCATAGAACTCTCTTTTTTGTTGTGCTTTTTTACGGTAGAAAAAGGAGAGAGATAGATTATAGGAGAGTTTGAATTTTTTTATAATTAGTCGTCGAAAAAAATTATGGGAGAGAGATTACAGATTTAAAAAAAAAATCTTTCATAGTGATATAAAAACTTGGACAATCCATCATAAAAAAATTGGTTAATCATTTTATTTTTCTCCAATAGTAACATCTTATTATTTTATTGCTCGAATTTTTTTTTTTTCCTATCTAACAAGATTATTCAGTACTTTTTCATTTTTATCTATGTATATTAAAATTTCTTTAGCACTTTAGTAACAACTTAGACTCTATATAATATAATTATAACTTTATTTATTATGTCTGAAATGAAAAGTTAAAATATTTACTAAAATTGTTGTGGTCGAGTTTATGGAATTAATACGACAAACAATTTAGTTCTCCTTGAAAATTTTCAACTCAAAATAATTAATACAAAAATGAGATGGAGAAATCACCTAAATTGAAAGTTCAAAAAAATTTACCTGCCCAAAGGGCAGGGTTCAAGCTAGTGATGATAATATGATTTTGGCACCCGAGATAAACCCAACAGAATATGGTTAGGGACATAAATAAGGGAGCATTGGACAAAGATTTGGGAAGAACATAATGAATCGGTTGACGACCAGTTTATGGAGAAGAAAAGAAATTAGGATTGAGAAATTACGTTGAATCATTATTAAGTACTAGAAAGATAGTCTGTGAGGCAGGCACAGACGAGCTAGTTTGTTACATTGTATTGAATTATTTTTGTATTGAGTGGAAGATGGAGGGAGAAGTCAATATTTTGCACAATAAATTTGTTCAATAACACCCCAAAATATTAAATTAGATAGACAGCAAAAAAAAAATCATTACTTGAATTTTTAGTGACAAACATGAAACATTTTAGTAATTCAGTAATCAAATTGACAATTTACCCCAAAACTAAACTAAATGGTGAAAATTCAAACTTCAGTGACAAATGCATTAGAAATCAAAATTATGTGACCGATTTGTTGTCAGTCTCAAAGTTTAGAGGGGTGAATGTACCCTTTTGTAAGGCACCGTTATACACTAAACTGTCCCGCGAAATTTCATTTTCCATTCCGCCGCCCGTCTCCCAACTCGTAAGCGGCGACGAGCGAGAACTGCGGCCGGCTTCGTTTTCCACCGTTTATCCTGTAAACTGATAGCGGCGGCCGCCGGCCAGTTGCCCTCATCCATTTTCCTTTCTAGCTTTCTGCTGAACTTTCGCGACTTAATATTTAGAGGGTTATTTCAAAGGTATAAAGCTCACATTAGAGTTACTCCTCGAGTCCTAGTTATGGAGCATCCTCTGAGTTCCTCGGAACATAACTACTTAGGCGGGATTTACTGTTGATGGGTGTGCTTTCTCTATCTCGAACATGTCTCCGGAGACCTTGCTGGCTTGAATCGGCTTATTCCGTCTCCTCTGCACTACTGGCGTCGGATGAACACCAGGTGTTCGACGTTTTGCCCGTCCTTAACAACAACACTGCTGTTGTAGAGAAATCAGTTGTGTCCTGCCAGGAGGTTAGTGATCAAGAGACGTGTAAGTTGTTCGCGTTTGTTGCTACGGTTGTGAAGACTTTGAATTTGGGGGAGGTGAAGAAAGTTAAGTTTGTTCAGGCGGTGAGGTACAACGGTTATGCTCATTCATTCCATGCGTTTAAAATGATCATGGAGGTGTTTGCGGTAGCGGGGATAGAGAACAACGTTCAAATTTTGCTTAGAGATATTGTTTCATATTACGGGGAGGTTGATTTGGATGTTTTGGGGTTGTCTCAAAGTCTGATAGATTCCCCTGATATTGCTGGAGTAATATCTTCCTTGTTGAGTGTACTGATAAAGGTTCTGGCCGAGAAGAGGTTGATGGAAAGTGCAGTTGGTGTGCTTTTGCAGGCTAAGGAAAATAAGGTTGAACCTCATATATTTTCGTGTAATTTCTTGCTGAAGTGTTTAATGCAATCCAAGAGATATGAACTCTTCGTCGATGTATTTGATCTGTTGAGGAATTCTGGTCCGTGTCCTAATGTTCATACCTACACCATTCTCCTGAACTTCTACCGTAATAGTGATTTGGAGGTAGACATTGTTCGTGCACTGATGGAGGTGCTGGGCGAAATGCAGAAATTTGGGCTTACCCCCACAGCTGTAACTTACAGTACGGTTGTCCATGCTCTTTGTAAAGTAGGTTTTGTTCAGTCTGCCTTGGAATATGTACGGGATTTGAGGAACAATAACTGTTTCTTCAATAGTTATTGTTATAATGCTATTATTCGTGGATTTTGCCAGCAAGGTGAAGTGGATGAAGCACTGAAGCTCTTGGAAGAGATGAGATCAGCTGGGATATCACCAGACATATATAGCTACAGCATCTTGATTCATGGGTTCTGCCAGAAGGGTGAATTTGAAAAGTGTGATGATTTGTGGAAAGAAATGGCGCATTGGAATGTCCAGCCAAACATTGTTACACACAGTTCGCGCGTTTCGGGTTTATGTAAAGTTGGATTGGTAGACCTTTATTTGGAGAACTTTCATGACAAAGGTGACCATGATTTTGAATATGACTTGACTTACTATAACATTTTGATTGACGGTTGTCTCATGACGGGTAAGCTGGACAACGCCAATGACCTTCTGGAGGAAATGACTATGAACGGGTTGACTCCTAAACCCTTCACCTTTAACAGGTTGATTCACGGGTTCTACAAAGAAGGGCACCTAAAAGAAGCCTTGAAAGTTATTGAAATGATGCGAGAATCTCTTGTAGCACCAAATGTTTTCAGCTGCAATGTGATTGCTGACATATATTGTAGAGAAGGACACCTGGTGGAAGCTCTGAAATTTATTGATGAAATGCAAAATCTAGGTATTGTTCTTGACTCACATACATACTATGTTATCATTAAGTGGTTGTGCCACAATGGAATGTCAGAGAAAGCGTGGGAAGTTCTTCCTGTAATGTTTAAGAAAAATGTTTTTCCTGATGTTGCTCATTATAATATCATCATGGATGGTTTTGCCAAACAGTCAAAAGCAATGGTTGCATTGAAATTGTATAGAAGAATGCTAGAAGTTGGATTAGCACCAGACATGTTTACATATACAGTTCTCATCAACATTTTTGCCAGCAAAGGAAAAATGGATAAAGCCTGCAGTTTGTGGAAGGAGATGATTGGAAAGGGCATCTCTCCAGATAAGATCGCATACACATCTATGATAGCTGGATTCTGTAAAATTGGGGATATGGAAGCTGCTGATGTATTATACCAGGAAATGTTGAAGAATGGCCATATTCCTGATGTTGTAACTTATACTTGTCTGATTGAAGGACTTTGTAAGATGAACCGCCTGGATATGGCTGACCGATTATTTGAGGAGATGGAACTGCACGAATGTCTTCCAAATGTGGTGACATACACTGTTCTCATTGCTGGCCATAAAAAGGTTGGCCACAATGGTGTTGCAGATAAGCTGTATGCTCAGATGGCCCAGAAGTGCATTTCTCCGGATTATATTGCTTACAATACCTACAAGAAGGGATATTCTTGAGCTTGATCAAGGTTAGATGATTTATCTGTATTTATAATTTCATTTATCCTTTTCTCTATTACTTTTAATTTTATCCAGGTGGTTTATTTTCCCCTGGCCATTTCATTCTCATCCCTCTCACTTCAACAAAATCTTTTTCTTGGAACTGGCTCCTAACCATCTGAAGGCTTGTTAGATCTGCATCTCTTTACTAAACTGCATTGATATATCTGTATTTCAGGATGCATAGCAGTCATGGCTGGAAAAGCGGGGTTGTTGTGTGGGGTTTGACAGTTTCTGTCTGATGCCATTTGGATGTTTGAGAAGCTTACAGGTACTTGTGCTAGTCCTGTTAATGTGGCTTTAATGGTTGTTCTGGACTTATATGAGTGACGTGAATGGATGAATATGAGTTTGGTAGTCCATTAGTCTAGTCTTTTGTTTGGTTCTGATTTTATCAAGTACTTCTGGTACATATCTTCTGTAAAGAGAATTAGATTCCAGAACCATGATGCATAAGGTGCTAGGGTTGTTCTAGGTGAAGTTAGTGGCTGAATCTTTCTTGTCGCCTTACTGTGTTCCTAACAGTGGTGAGCTGAGTATAATGATTTATGGTAGTAAAAAGATTATTTGTTAACTTGAAGGTGCTTGAGGAATTGACATTTCGAAATTGCAAGCTGATTCATCAAATATTTTATGGTACTGTGCTGCCAAAACTTATATCACATTGTCTTTTCGTGTCTGTAGGGTTATGATCTAAAAATATAAACTTTTCGAGAATTGCTTTTCCATTATTCATTGCTTCCACACTCTCAGTATCAATTATCACATGTCTCTATTATACATCGCAAAGCCAAAGTCAAAATTCCAAGACTGAACATAAAAAAAAAGGACAGGAGGTCTATGGAATGCAGAAAAATGAAGTTGACTGAACAGGTATCCTATGACTGCAATATATAATCTTCTTACAAAATCATGTTAGTGCTCCCTTTTGTTGCTCCTGTTGAAGGTTGATTAGCTTAAAATATGCCCCATCTCTCTTCTGTACAAGACTCGAATGAGTCCCCTGTTCGATTATCCTTCCGTCTTGTATGACCGATATCTGATCTGCATGCTTTATGGTTGACAGTCTGTGGGCCACCATCACCGTCGTACGGTTCTTCATCAATCTGTCCAGTGCTTGCTGCACGATGTGCTCTGACTCTGCATCCAGAGCGCTGGTAGCTTCATCTAGCAGAAGAATTTCTGGATTCTTCAGCACTGCCCGGGCAATGGCTACCCTTTGCTTCTGGCCACCAGATAGTTGCACCCCTCGTTCACCTACTTTTGTCAAGTAGCCCTGAGGGAGGGCACTGATGAAGCTATGTGCATTTGCGAGTTTAGCTGCTTCGATTACTTCTCCTTCGGTGGCTCCTTCTCTGCCGTACAGTATGTTTTCATAGATAGATGTTGCAAAGAGAGCAGGCTCTTGCTGGACTAGGCCGATGTGCCTCCGGAGCGATCTCAATTTCAATTTCTTGATGTCTTTCCCTGTTGAAACGTACCCAAGATGATGTCAATCCAAGGTAAAGTACAACATTAGTCGCTTAACTTGACTTCAGAGCTTAACTTTGCCACTGAAGTAATTATTTATACAGGTAGGCAACTCTATCTGATGATTCACCTATGGATGTTATTATGGATTTTATCATAATTATTATTCTCCATAAGACGAAGGATTATAATTAGAAGAGTCGAAAAGGAAGAACACTCACCGTCTATCATTACTCTGCCTGATGTTGGATCGTAAAATCGGAGAATGAGGGCAAGAACAGAACTTTTTCCAGATCCACTTTGGCCTACTAAAGCCACACTTTTGCCTGAATGCACTTGCAGATTGAAGTCCTTGAAAATGGTGACTTCCGGCCTTGCTGGATAGCTGAAACAGACATTCTTCAACTCAACCTTACCCTCTACATTGTTCAACTCTTCCCCGGCATCTACACTCATCTGTGATTTTCGATCTAAAACCTCGAAGACCGATGCAGCCATCTGGTTCCCTTTCAGCAGATCTGGAGCTAATGCAAGAGTCTCACCCATGGCTAGTGCTGTTACAATCAGAACCATGAATGACTTCATGACGGACTTAAAACTAGCAATTTCCTTCTCCATAAGAGTTGAACCGTACCTGCACAAATCAAAGGCAAGAGTCATTCATCATTCTTAATTGGTCCCCAGACTCATATCCGTGTTGGTTACTAAACTTGCTGTCGAAACAACTAAAGCAGGTAACTTGTACTAATGAATCACCCAAAGCATTCTTCATTTTGTTTTTGTATTTTGGTCAAGGCATTCTTCATTTCCTTTGTCAAGTTTGTTGCTATGTTGCCTGTGGCTGTCCACCAACTACAGGTTATGACGGCCTAGACAAAAATGCTAACGGTGAGTTACCAGGGTGAGTTTGGTGCTTTATTTGTATCGAGTTTCAGTACCCAATTTGATATATGTGGGCGATTTTGATGCTCAAATTGGTATTAGCTATGTGCAGAGGGATAGTTTTACTAAATAGTTTTGAAGCTGAAGCCCAAGGAGAGCCACACACACATACCATAGAGCGAGTCCATAGCAAGAGAAAATGAAGAACTGGGATATCCCATAGCATATCCCTGCAATCTGTCCACGTGTGAATGAACGTTTTGAAGGTTCCACTAGCTCGTGCCCATAAAGATCAAGGACCTTGTCTTCTGCACAGAATGCTGCGACTGTTCGTATATTGCTTACTGCCTCAGCAGCCAGCATGTTGGCTTTCAGGTATACTTTGCTCAAGTTGCCACCATAACCTTGCATGAACAGTTTCTGATTTCCACATTGGTTAGTCAATATCTGCAAATATGCTTCTTAAAATAAAAGAGTGCTAAAGAAAATTAAATACTACCTCACTAATGTGTCCGCTAATGACGAGTGGATACATAGCTAACACAACAAGAGTGATTCTCCAATTCAGGATGAATGCAATGACGAAAGCTGTAACCACCAAACCAAGATTCTGCAAGAGAATGGTGGAGCGATCAACTACTATAGTTTTCAGCAGAGTTGCGTCGGTCGCGAGGCGTGATGTCAGCATAGAGCTGTTGTTGTTCAAGTCATCGAACCATCCTATTTCGTTCTGCAAGATGGCTGCAAGTGACAGTATGGAGGAGGTGAGGATCTTTTTGCAGTTATGTCATGTGAATTCATGCCCTTGAAGCCACAAAATTTACCAGAAAACATCTTTTCTCTGACTCGGAATGTTAGTCTCTCTCCCATGATCCCAAAACACAGATGTGCAATGGCATGAGCAATAACTGTCAACACTGCAGCAATGCTGAAGAGGGTTGCTATCTTTTTGACCTCATGCCGAGTTGTGTCCCAGTCCATGTAGTAGGACACAAGCGCCTGAGACACACCGAGTGCGAAAAGCGGCATCTGTGCTCCAGCAAAGAAGGCGCATACAACGCCAGATACTCCATATATCCAATCAGGAGCAATCATGGCGTATAGTCTTCTCATGGAAACAGTAGATGGCTTGGCCGGTTCTGCTCCATCCAAGCCTGTGCGGCTGATGACCGAATCCTTATCAGAACGGAAGCTTGCTCCAAAGCTAGATCTGGTGCGGGATAACTCTCGAGAGTGCTTTCCGCTGACAGAGATCAGATAAAGGACAGAGGAAAAGACAAGTCAGTGCATATAATACGGCTCTTCATATCATTTTAATGGGTTATGTTTATCCCCAGTTTTGGCTGGGTTTTAAGCATCCTCCATTATCAAGGTAGTCGAATTACGGTCATCCTCAACTGTCTTCAGATTTGAGGAGGTACCTATAGATTTTAAATGTTACTACTGGATTTTAGAATTCTAACTTTATCCATGCTTTGGTTGTACGTAAAGTCCTGATTATCACTTCATTGCTCATTACTGTTAGGCCAGAAGTCTACCTCAGCTGATGTTCCGCTGTAGGACCTAAAGATGGGTGGTGTTGATTTGATGCAGCTTCTTGAAGATGGACGAGTGCTGCATATGCACTCTTTGAGTCTGCGATGAGATCTTCATGGCTGCCAATTTCCACAATCTTTCCTCCTTGAACAACAGCAATCATATCGGCATTCCTTATGGTGGAAAGCCGATGTGCTACAACGACAGTGGTCCTTCCAACCATGGCTCGATCGAGTGCCTCCTGCACGCTTTTCTCCGATTCCGCGTCAAGTGCACTTGTAGCTTCATCAAGCAATAGAATTGATGGGTTCTTCACTATTGCACGAGATATTGCTATCCTCTGCTTCTGCCCACCTGATAGCTGGATTCCTCTCTCCCCAACCTGCAAAAAGCCCAAAAAATTAATAGCATTACAACCACACAGTTTTACCCTTTAGTAGAGGCCAATGCAAACAAGTACCTGAGTTTCAAATCTATCAGGCAGGTTGTTGATGAAAGAAGAAGCTTCAGCCTGTTTAGCAGCGTGAGTGATCTCTTCCATTGTGGCATCATCTTTCCCATATAAAATATTCTTCTTAATGCTGGTGGCAAACAATGCAGGTTCCTGATTCACTAGACCAATCTGCTGCCTCAGCCACTTGAGATCGAAATCCTTAATATCAACTCCATCAATCAGTATCTGCCCAGACTCTGGCTCGTAAAATCGCTCGATTAGCGACACAATTGTGCTCTTCCCGGAACCACTCCCTCCGACAAGAGCCACAATCTTCCCTGAAGGTATGTTGAGGCGGAGTTTGTTGAAGATGGTTACATCAGGCCGAGAAGGGTATCGAAATGACACATCCTTGAATTGGATGTGACCTTCAAGCTTGTTTAATCTTTTGCCTGTTTTGGAATTGGTTTTGCTTACTGTGTCCCTCTCTATCATCTGGAATATAGGACCTGCTGCTGCTTTCGCCCTGATGAATGCTGTGATGTCTGGAGCTGCCTGTCCCAGTGACCTTTGTGGTAAAAGCATGAAACAGGTAACTAAGTCAGATAAGCAGTGATGATTTGAAGTAAAATATTATAAGCTAGTGAATTGATTTAGTGAGTGTTCATATAGTAATTGAACCTGAGCACTACTTACAGGCCTGAAATGACCACATTGAGCATAGTGGTGAAGGACTCGCCGCCATTCGAGATGTTCTTGTGGACGACGATGCTGACAAACCAGACGAGCAGAGCCCACGAAAGGAAGAGCACGCAGTGGAGAGTTCCAAGTCCAAGCCCTTTGGCTAGTCCTGCTTTCCTTCCATACTCGTAAGTTTTGCTCAAAGCATCTCCGTATGCCCTTACTGCCCTTTCCTCTCCTGCAAATGCTTGCACTGTTCTCACATTGCCAATCACCTGACAAGAGAAACATCAGCATGAGATGATACTGGTTTCTTTGTATTGGGAAAGGAATGCTGTTTCAAGATGTTAGGTATATATATCTCCAGTATTGGAGTTGATCGTTGCGTTTGTGCTCAAGATGGTATCGTTGATGATACGATTTATGAAATCTTGAACTCCGCTATATGAAGAGGTTGCAGATGACTACCTCCTCTGCGATCTCGCCTGCTTTGACATAAGATTTGCGGACTCTAGCAAGAAGGCCGATGGTGACATAGGCGTAGATGCCACCTGCTAGCGCGATGAAAGGC